CCCCAAAACCCCAAAACCCCAAAACCCCAAAACCCCATAAAACTTACAAAAATTGTAATAAAAATGGAGTCCACCAGCAGCTTTAATCTCCCAAGTGAAGAATCTTCAACAGTAGGTGGCTTCATGTTTAAAGAATCACAGATTGGACAAAGTACTCCGTCGGATAATATCAATATATTTGCTGAAAATATGGACGATTTAGAGAAAGTGGGTAAACTTACTAGCAAGTAGAATATCTCAGCCGTTGTCTGCAAGTAAAAACCTTTCCTCTAAAATTGACGAGTATTCCTTCAAAACTCCATTTTCGAATCAGTTTTCTGATGAAGAGAAAGGTAAAGGAATTATTTTCTCATTTAAACATTGTCATAAAGGTCCTACAGACCAAGATTATACCGAGAATAATAAGAGTTTTGACTTATTTATTGACTCAGAGGAACACAAAATGAGGGCTGCTGAAAGCGAAATTGAAAAACCTTTGGATCCCAAAAGGGATCTTTGGAAATAAAGAGTTCATGGAGTCCAAGAAGGACATCTGGACCAATGCCATTCTTCAGGAGATGGACATCGATGGTAGCGAGAGATCGATAGCTTCATACAACATTCATCTGAAGAATATCTCTGTGCCAAGAAACCATTTAAAATTAAACATAATTCTGAGGATTATTCTGTTGGTCTTTATTATTGGGAACGTGTTCTTCCTGCCTTGGATCAGGAATGAAGAGTGCATGAAAGACCCACCTAATGCTATTGAGTACTGTAATATTAATCCTGGGTGGCTATTTTACAAGTAAAGGCCTATATTTCTACTTTCAACTCATGAATGGAGACTTTTGAAATGACAAAAATTTGAAGGCCCAGTTTTGTAGTGATGCGCCTTTTACCTTCTTAGCAGGCCTCTTTACCCTTCTAATCGCACTTTTAGTTGTGATATTTGAGGTATTGGCCATGCTGAGCATACTTAATCTGGTCATGGACTACCGAGTCAAGTGGTTCCGAGCATCACTTTTTCAGCGATATAGTTATTTGTTCATCTTAGCTACTATTGTCGCCTGGTACTGATCTCTTCGGCTTTGGAGATACATGAGGTTCCTGAGCTTTGGGTTTTATGGCATGATCATCATCTTTTTCAGCTGAACTCTGCTGAAATTTCACTACAGATTCTACAAGCAGAAGCTCTACCGAAGGAGGCAGGTGAATGACCTGTTGATGGATAAGTAATTAATTAATAGTATTATTCGTGCAAACTTTTAGGAAATTTTCAAACTTTCGCTTCTGAGTACCAACTCTATCAAATTCTAAAATTATCGGCACTAAAACGGAGCTAACCATCCGGCATTGGTCATTAGAAGCCGGATTCGTGCTGTCCTAATAATTTTGGGAATCCGAAGAGATAAGTGTTTGGATGGCTTATTCGACCTATTTTAAATAGTTAGCCAGTTTACTAAAATCAACTCAGGACTCTTTGTAGGGGTTTTGGGGTTTTGGGGTTTTGGGGG